AGAGAGAGAGAGAGAGAGAGAGAGAGAGAGAGAGAGACGAAGAGCGAGTGAGAGAAAAAGAAATATAATTATATTCGACGACGACACGTAACGTGTAAAAAATGTTGCTTGCGTTCAGCCCCGTTGTTAAATTAAGCGAAACGAGATATCGTCCACGTCGGATTTTGTTGCCCATATTACGCGAATCGCGTCGTTCCGCTGGTCGATCACCCGCATCACATTTTTATCGTAAATTTTTATGCTCAAAGGAGAGTGGGGGGAGAGAGAGGATTATCCTCGATAGAGCCGCAGAGAAAAATCACGATCGTCGTAAAATAACATCGCGTTATCATGAAAATTCCATAAATATTCCGGAAAATACGTTCAACTGTTTTACGTAAATTTCATCAAAATAACATAGATGTGAAGTTAGTATCGTGCGCGAAATTTTCAAACGAGATTGAACGCAACAATCGATCAACAAAGGGCGGTTCCTCCAATTTGAGGTTCTTCTGATTAGAAAAAAAAGAAAAATAAAAAGAAAAATAAAAAAGAAAACACGTCCACACGGGCAATCTCTCCGGTTAAATTACAGCCGATGAAACAATCGTGTAGAGAGATATAGAATATAAAACTATGTTACGTTGCATATTTATGTTCGATGGCTCGTGAAACCATCGCGACAAAATGGGAACGGCGGAACGACGCGCTCTTCGCGCAACCGCAATGTAGATTTTGAGCGAATTTTCGAATGTCGCGTTATCATTTTCGATTCGGTTTACCGGCGCGGCTCGGGGCAAGATTCGCGTGTAAATTCCACTGTGCCATTGTTTGTAAAACTTAAAAAAATTGCGATCTGCCGGATCGATCGATCGATTTACGTGGTACGGGCGCGAAAGCGGAAGAGCGAGAGAGAGAGAGAGAGAGAGAGAGAGAGAGAGAGAGAGAGAGAGAGAGAAATAAGAGCAAAAGATATAATAAAAAGAAAATCATAAAGAGATTTAAGGTAGGCACACGTGCACACGTGTACGTGTACGCGCGGGCGCGCGCGTATCTTTTTCCACGAACGGCGGCGAATTAATTAATTAGACTTAACCGATTAGGTGAAGCGTAAGTTCAAGTGCCAAATTTTTAGCTAATCAATCCTTAAAGCGTAAACGAGCGCGTTGCGGAGCGAACGTGTACGCGATAGGACCGTTGTAGGGATGTAATTAACGCGAAGGGTGATCGAAGGCGGCGCGGAAATCGCGTGTTATTAGGACCGATTACGAATTAAGCCGAGGCTCGTGAGAAGCGTCCGTGAAATTATTCCGCAATTTATCGCAAACTTTAGAAGCGGGAGATCATCCTGCCGATTTGTTCCTGCGTCAACTTTGGCAAACGATACCTCGAACTCAAAATCCGGCAAGCCGAAGTAACACGCGCACACATTGAAGGAAATTTTCACGCCTATTTCAGTTTGCGCTTCGGTCTAAACCTGGAAAACAGTGTCAAATATAAGTCGCGGGTTTATTACGCGGAATCGCGGACGAAAAAGAAAGAGAGACGGCAGGGAGGGAGAAGAAGGATTCCGAGTTCAATTTGAGCGAGTATACTTTTGCGACGAACGTCTTGAATTCCGCGGCGAAAGAGGAAGAGAGCGGGAGAAATATAATATTATACCAAAAAGAAAGAAAGAGGACAGATAAGGAAAACGCGTCACAGCCAACTGAATTTAATGATGAATTTTTACGAGAGCAAAACTCAGTTATATTTCCGGCAGGCAATACTCGTTCCCTTCCGTTTTGAATCCTCGTTCAGCTAGCTCACCACGCGCGATTCCATAGAAAAAAAAAGAAAAAAAAACTATGTTGTCCTGTCGTGATAAAACGATTTAAGAGACGATCAAGAAAAACGAGAATTCGCGCTGGGTGATTAGCGAAATGGCGAGGAGGAGAGAAATAATCTATATAAATTATACCGCGAGGAGAAAAAAGAAGAAGAAAAAGATGAATAATAATGAACAAATGAATTTAATAAAAAAGCAAGATATTAAACACACATGTACCACTAAACATAAACTATACATATTTAAACTATTGAATGCTAAAGTCATATTCGTAATAATGAATAAAAAAATGATTAATAATCGATTAAACACTGAATATTAAAGCTAGCCTGTAATCGATAGCGACGTAGTTATACTCTGACAGTAATTATAGGGGTGATTCAAAGATAGTCTATTAGCAGTTAGGGTCGAACTTTATCGAGATCACTTTCTCTAAACTAACGATGGAAAAAGAAGAGGAAAACGAAGAACACGAAGAAAAGAAAGAGGAGAAGGAGGAGGAGGAGGATGTTACATCTAATTATCTCTCGATGCTAACTTATTAAATTTAACGGACGTAAAAGCCGCGCTGATGAGATTTCAGAAGACCGATTACATAGAGCGCGATCTAACTCTCTCTTCATTACCTATCTATATCTTTATTCCCTATGTACTTTAACAGAGGAACGGAGGAAAAAAAAGAAACGTAATAAATCGTCTTGTATTGTCCACCGTTATACACCGGTCGTCGTGATCGATGACGCGCTACGACGACGGCATCATCATCGATCGCCGTCGCGAGTGCGAGACGAGAGATAGAAGAGTGTGGACACACACATATACATACATACATACGAATACACACAGAAAAGAGTTACTATGTTTACCGTAGACTCTCCGATGGGACGATGCAATTGAACTGAACTCACCCGATCTCACTTGACTTTTAATTATGCCTCGACAACACAGCCTGGTCCGATAATAGTAAATTCGTACACACGACGGAGATACGAAGAGAGCGCGTGAATAAAAATTTGTTATATTTCTACGCTGGGCTCCCTTTTTTCGAGGCAAACGTTGATCGATATGAGAATTCCTGTTAACTGGTGAGCACTGTAATCGCCGCATTGTAATATTATTAACATTATTACGTTATTATGAAATTGTTGAAATAAATGAAATGAAAATATAAACGTCTAACCTGTTCCCCCGTCCCTCTCTCTCGGTTTTTATAGTTTGTCGCAGCTAAGCGCGAAGTAGTTTTGATGGATTTTTGTCGTAGATGAATGTTCATCCGCGACTCTCGAAGAAGATATGAAAAATATGACGTGGTAGAATAACACGATGATAAAATACAATCATATTTGCACGTAGAGTAAACGAGAAGATATGAAATTCGATGAGCTTTATTGATTTACGATTATACAAAGGATGAAGATTTACATCGTAAAAAGGACTACCTTAGTTACCTTACGTTAAATTCCTTTCTTTTCTTCTTTTTTCTCACCTACCAACAAACGCAGTAATGCACGAACATAGTCGCCGTATTATTTATCATGCATAGTAAAGTGTAAACTTTACGGCTCAACAATATCTGTACTTCTCTTCCGTTTCGCGCGCGAAATAAAATCTAACACATGTATCCGTCGTACACGATTGTCTACTTTGCCGCGATAGATAAAGGACACACATATACACCGCCTGAAGCCTATGGTCTTTTTTATGATTATATGCTTATTTGTTGTTATCATTCGCGTGAGACCGTCTTAGTGTTTCACGACTGCGAATAAATAGTATTACTTCGTGAAGTTTATCGACGCGAGGGATTCGAAACGAAACGAAGCGAGCGTGTTGCTGGTGTTTCCACAAATATTAATTCTCTCTACTTCTCGAGAGGAAGACACATATTGCGTCATCGGTAACTAACGCACGGTAATATAGCTTTGTGTCAACTACATTTACGTATGAGCCGTATCTTTGTCACTTGAGGCTGGAAAGGTCGACCGAATCAAAATGCGTGCAAGTATCATGCAAAACCGTTTGCAAGAAAAAGAAACGCAAGCAATTCGATCGATGCGAACGTTTCCTCTTCTGCCGAGAGAAACTCGCGATCACACTCGACGACGAACCAATACCTTGAATCGCGTCGACCTCCCAACGCCAATCGTGATCGCACAGATACAAGCGGAATCCATTTTTGCAAGGAATACATTAATATAATTTATATTTTTCGTAAAATTTATTTGCTATGAGTTCCTCGGTGGGATTGTCCGGTGGGTGTGCCGAGGTTGTCGCGATTTTATCGGCACTCACTACAGCGATGAGTATCAACGGGCACAACTGGATTTACAATGTAGCACACGACAATTTTCGCAAGATTATTATCAAAATTATTTCAAATATTCTAAGCCGTTAATTTTGTGTCCATCCATGCATTCGCGTACGGAACATTTCGCCTTTACCTTACGCGGGAAGAATCGATAATTTTGATATCGTGAATTTGATCGATACTGATCGAGATTGATCACTGAAACTGCGATCGAATGGTGAAACGAGGAGACGCTTTCTCGCTTTGCGTTATACAATGTTTCAATTGTCTGTTTTCGTTCGCTCACATATATTAAACGTACTCGACAACTTGATCTCACGGACCGACGGAAGACCGCGGCCGACGATAAACGCGCTGACAAATTGCGACGAGATTATTCTTTTGAAAATAATATGTGGTGTCTTGCAGGGACGAGATTTTTAATGTTAAACATGAAGCATTCTGTATAAGTCCAGGATCGATAACGTGCTTGTCATTATGCTCGCCTAGTTTACCGGTCTATGGAATTATTTGCTAATCAATATAATATCAATATGGCTGCCTACGTGAGTTTGTGCGTACCATCATTGTTACTATATTACAATCGTCTCGCCTAAGCTCCGTTGACCTTAATTCCGTACTCCTACTATACATATATAATACTAATCATGGACTTCATCGTTTAACATTAAGCATGTTAACTACGCTTGGGGGAGATATATCCATAGAATTGATGCACAAGCTATCTCATCAAAACCTACATTGATAGGAAATAATATTCCGCAAATAAATTGAATTTGGTACTTTTGAACGAGAATTTATCCAACGTCCAATTATATTGAGACTTTAAATACTCGGGGATTTTCTAATTAGCAAAGTTTGTGATTTTTGGGAGATATTACATTAAAATAATCCGCGTTTCGCGTTGGGAGAAATACTAATTCCTCCGACAAAACCAAAGATGAGAAGCGTCTGAAGGTTGTTTCGTGGATCTCTCGTTTAAGCGATGGAGTAATCGGAAGTTAATGGCAACGGGGAAGACAACAGTCGCAAAGGCAGTCATTAATACTAGTAGAATCGTCACTATCTACATAATATATGCCATTTCGCGATCGCGTCGAGTTCCGTCGGCGGATTCAGCTTTTCGGAAGGAAGAACCGTGAAATGGTGCAGATAACGGTAGGAGACAAAGTGGAAACATCCGTCAAAAATATCTATATACTTAGCATGGAAGTTCGTAAAAAGACCCGCTTGGTAAAAAAATGCTATCGAACGGAACGTTAACCTTCTGAAGACCGGCTATTTTTTTACCGACTTTTTTATTTTAAGAGCTATAACTTTTTTGTCAATGTCATTGGATTGAATTGGGAAAAAGCTGACACCGCCGTCATGCCGATATATCGGCTTCCGGTCCTTCAAAGGTTAAACGTTCGTGATTGAAACGACAAGATCGCTCGCACGACGATGTTACGTACAAATCGATCTCGAAAGAGAGATGAAATGAGAACGGTCTCGACGATGGCACATTACTTATAACAGCAACTCGCCGCAGCGAGACGGATTATTTTCCACGATAGATCTCTATGATACGATCCTGGTCCACATACTCGAAAATGTGAGGGGCGTCCATGAGGATTCCGATGGTGCCAGCGGTGGTGACTACAAAGAAGATATAAAGTTGCAGTCGATCGATCACCATCGCGACATACTTCCAGTCTTCTCTCGTCTGAAAAGAAGATGCAAGCAAGAGGGAGATGATTGGCAATGTGTGTATGAAAAGTGCGAGTCAATCTGAAATTGATACTCGCGCGTTTGACACACCTGTATGTACAAGTCTTCGTTCCTGAGATGTTCCGCTATGAACTCCACAGCTTCGGTAGCCTTGCTGGCTTCCGGGTTAAGCAGCACCGAGTCCGAACTCTCGGACCCTCTCCTGTCGCCCATGCCTTCACCGCCCCCAGCGCCACTCGAGCTGCTCGTAGTATGTTGCACCTTGCGATTAATCTTGCAATTGGGATGATGCAGATCTGACAGCTCCATTACCTCCATTTTCTTCGCCGGTAGCTTTGGTACCTCTGTCGGACTTCCCGAGTACGTGGAAGCTGGCAGTGTCACGTTCGGTATCTCCATCATCCATCTAATGAAGTGACAAACGTTCGTATGAACGGCTACATAAGACTCGATCGAGAATCGCCTCGCGACGCTTCAGTGAGATGAATTTTAATTACTTGTACACTTTCAATGTGTATTTGAAAGAAAATATGTATCTTAATCAAGAGAAAACTGTATCCTAATGAAGAAGAGAACAATCTTGACAATTTAATACATCTTAATTTTTCCGCCTAATTTTCCCTCAACGTACATGCACAGCAAGCAAGAATTTATCGTTACGAGTAATTATCGCTTGCTAGTAATATCGTTTAGAGACGAGCTCACGTCCGTACCTTAGTCGTGTCTTCTTTGGCCGTTTCATCACCAGAATTCTCGGTAGATACTTGAGGAAGATCTTGCGTATAAGTTGCGGCATCCTATGGGTTCTCGGCCCACGGAAGTTCCAGTTGATGATAATGACAGTCACCAAGATACTGACGGTATTCATAATAAAGGTGAAGAGCAGATATTTGGCTATGAGCGGCAACACCAGGGAAGTCGGTGGTAGGATCTTACTGACCAGCAAAAGGAACACAACTAAAGATAGGAGAATACTGATGCCCAAAGTAACCTTCTCGCCGGCCTCTGCCGGCAGATAGAAGACAAGCACGCAGAGGAAGGAGATTAGAACCGTCGGTAGTATCAAGTTTACTGTATAGAAGAGGGTCTTCCTGTGGAAGAAAATTGGACATTAAAGAAAAACGCTAAAGCAAATACGAGATCAGATACCATATCGAAATGAAGATTGACAGTATTTGAAGACGAAAATGCACACCTGCGGATAATTATGTAGAAAGTAATGTCGGTCTCCGTGGGAAAATCACCCACATAGGTATTGAGATACGCCGGCACGCTGATGATGTCCCACGTGCCACTCTTCCAGTAATCAGACAGATCGACGAAATTCTTGTCGTTGTAGAGCGCGAGGGAGACTTGATCACCGTTGAAAGTCCATGAACCGAACTTCATGATGCATGTCTGCTGGTCGAACGGGAAGTACGTGACGTCGATCGTGCATGAGCTCTGATAGATCGCTGGCGGCACCCAGAGGACCTCACCGTTTGGGTATATTAGCACGTTACTTTTGTAACGGACCTCGTAATTGCCATCGGCACTGCAAACGATATTTCGAATATTGTCACGTCGACAAAACTGATCTTATTGTATAACGAATGGAAAGCAAGCTTATTTTTTACTGATAACCGAAGCGATCGCAATTTGCTGAAGCTTTAAAATGCTGAGAAATCAATAGTTTCGACTGATAATTGAAAACATTTTAATTTAAAAAATACTGAGAATGCAAAGAAATCAGTAGTTTTTCATGTTATTAATACGAGGATAAAATGAAGAAGTATTTTAACGAGAGTTTAACGTCGAAAGTGACGTCCCTAACTAGCAACAATAGCGCTAAATGATTAAGGAATATTTCTTTGTCCTAATATTTTTTTGTCTTAAATAAGTATGCGAATAATTTTCACATACTTATTGAACAGTACTATATCCGGTTTCCACACTTTGTCGGGCGGTAACCTGAGGACACCGATCCCGCCATAATCCGCCTCGTCCCACTGCAACTGATAGTCCATCCACACGAATCTCAGCCATACGTTCGACTTCATAATCTGGTTCTTCTCATTCTGAAAAATTAACGAGACTTGGATTAACAAAGGAAAAAAACGAAAAGGTTGTACGATTAATCTACACGATTTAAACGTTTGACTTTTGTCGCCGTTTGATGAATATTATTTTCCGACCGCGCGAAGGAAAAATAGGCCGAGGTGTTCTTACCACGTTGATCAACTGCACGAAGGCGAGACCAAATCTCACGTGCACCTTTTCCGTCATGTTCTGCACGGGTCGAATGAGTTTATTGTACCCTCGGAACAGGTCTCGTACCAGTCTCTCCTCGTCCTCGGAGCACAGACCTGTAAGCAAGACGAGCAAGAGGACAATCAACGAGGAAGATATCTGCACGACAGATATTGCATTTTATTGCGTGCAAATTTGAAAAACTCGCGAACATGCTTCTCTCGTCTCATCTCATGTTCCACTTTTCTCGTTGAACGTTTAAAACTGGCCTATCATTCCTACATCAATACGATACTATTTCTCGCAAGTTTTCTCTGTTCAAAGTTAATAAACGGTTTGGAAAACGGGTGATGCTCTTACCGATGCACAGAATCACCGAGATCAGGAATAGTTGGGCGAAACGCAGATAAAAATACATTTTGGGCGGGTTCGTCGTCCCACAGCGTTACGCAAAACGCCGAATAGAAAGCCGATACCACCAACAGCAGCACCACCACCGCTAGCTTATCCAACACGGCCACCACCACCGTCGACGTCAATGTCGCCGCCACTAGTACCTTCGTCGCCGTCGTTGTCGTCGCCACCGTGGATCAATATGGAGCGCAGACTCGGGCCAATAATTGCATTTCCTACCTCGCAGTCTTACACACCGAATCCACCCTCGACGAGCAGCTGCGATCCTGGTGGTCGCGCACTTTCACCGAAGGCTCGTCGACGAAATTTACCGTAAGACGGACGCACCGAAAGAATCACGAGAACGCACCGTTGGATGCCGTCGAGTAGCGAGATTTTCGACGCGCCGGGGTGAACTGAGCCACCCACAGGGGCTGGCAGCCAGGGGTTGGTCGCTGCGGGTGCGCTGCTTTACCGAGGGATTCTGGACAAGTCGCGGATGGTGGCGTTGTGTAGAGGGCAGCGGGTGAATTCCGCATAGATTTTTGGGGTCGCTGCTGGTGAAACCTTCGCGAAGAACATAGAGCTACCGGCTATTTTTAGAATTTATGAAAATGTATGAGACAATTCGACCAGGAATCTGAAATATCGCTCCCATAGTGGATTATATATAATACAATTAGGTCGTGTATGTCACAATAATTACAATTGTTTTAATTTGCGTCAACGATTTGTATTTACATTAATAGTAAGTATAATTAGATAGCCGGTTTTAAATTTGTGAATAATTAATGTTTTAAATTAGTAATTTTTACATACTGAAATTATTACTGAAATTATTATGAGTTCATGAAGTAATTATCAGAAGAACATTGAGTTTTGCACTGCGAAGTATCATTAAAAAGCAGTTTTATTTGCTCCTCCGTAGCCACTATCTGAATTTTCTACATTTCGTGTTTCACACACACACACACACATATACGCATAAACCTTCAGTCGTGTAGTTTGAAACTTGCTTACACGCGGGGAAACCATGGCAAAGTTGCAATTATGGATCATTTCGAAACGCCTCCTAACTTTCCGGTGACATATAGACCGCGTCGCAACGAAACTGCAATATTACGCACAAGCGGCCCAAATTGTTCGGAAAACATCTGAAACTTTCCTTATGCATTATTCTTCGTTAATTATTATGCTGACACGTTATATGGAACGCACGTTTATCGATCACATAATTATGAATTATTCGCGCGAAGCATCCTATACTACCACTAATACGGTATAATATTAGCACTCAATGTTTCCAACGGGGCATTTAAACGTCTCGCTCCGCGGCTCCCGCGGAGTTCTCCAAATTGAATTTTAAATTCGACGTTATTTACATTTCTATTAGCTCGTTACCCATGCATTACCTTTTCATAGGACGCGATAATCGGATAGAACTCGACGCGGAGGTTACAGCGGTGCGCTGAGATTTTACGACGGTCAATAATCGAGGTACAAACATTATTAAAATAATCCATCAACGTTGCGTTCGAGCTATTGAAAGAATCGTGATCTCATATTAATTATCTCTTTCTCAAATAGGAACTTCTTTCTTCCCGTTTTTATATATATACATGCTATTTGGATTTAGATATACGAGCACTCGTGTGCAAATAAAAAACTTTAATCTAAATCCAGACAATATATAATTAATAGATATGTGAAACAATAAGTTTTGTGTGTTTTTTTAAATTTATTATATATTTTTCTTTATTTTCTTTTTGGCACTGGAAATTTCTCTGGAATGTCTGACACAACGCGCATTAATTCTCATGTGCAAGTAAAATATAATTGAACAAAGAGTCTTCTACCATTTTGCAAATAACCGTGATAATTATTCATTTACTTCGACTCACAGTAACGATACGATAGTAACCTCGTCACTGTTACAACAAACGAGGTGGCAAGTAAAAAAGGTTGCATGTTACTTGCGCGTGAGCTTGTCCGCCTTGCTTTAATCAATCACAATACTCGACTCTTTCAAATAGGCGATAAAAGATCAGCATAGACTTGTATGTGTTCCAAAGAGATTGTTTCTTATTTTTATTTCATGCCGCTCTCGAATCATTAGCGAGGTGTAACTGTTTAAAGTCACGGTATCGACGCCAGGTTTCAGCTCGGCGATGGCGCCAGACCGAGCGTGCCATCTTCAGTCGTATCAGCACACTATATTCTCATTCTATCTTCTTCTGAAGTGAGATGAACGACCACGTGATCGCTGCGAGCACGTGGTCGTTGTTGACGATTGTCTGGTTCGCGGAGTGAAGATAGTGAGTTGCGCGACTGACTGTCACACGCGACACTTACAAGTAAACCTATCCAAAAGTACATTCCGATTTCTTTTTAATTTGGCACAAATGTAGAAGTATAAAAAATATTTAGGTTACATTTTTTCATTTTGGCCCACTTTAAGTTTCGTGGACAGTTTATAGCTTTTTAATGTTCTCACTTCTGTCATCAAGTGCAACAAAAATGCATAAGAAATAAAATTGAATACAAGATATAGTTAAATAATTTTAACAAAATCAGCATAGCTGAGACACGAATCATTCTAAATTTCTTTAGCCGAGATTCCAACCGAAATATTTCAAATCTGTGCTAAAGTAGTAAAAAGTGGTTCGAATCTTGGTCAAACAAAAATCCAGCAATTTTAATTAAAATTTTAACAAAATCGGCATAGCTGAGACACGAATCATTCTAAATTTCTTTAGCCGAGATTCCAACCGAAATATTTCAAATCTGTGCTAAAGTAGTAAAAAGTGGTTCGAATCTTGGTCAAACAAAAATCCAGCAATTTTAATTAAAATTTTAACAAAATCGGCATAGCTGAGACACGAATCATTCTAAATTTCTTTAGCCGAGATTCCAACCGAAATATTTCAAATCTGTGCTAAAGTAGTAAAAAGTGGTTCGAATCTTGGTCAAACAAAAATCCAGCAATTTTAATTAAAATTTTAACAAAATCGGCATAGCTGAGACACGAATCATTCTAAATTTCTTTAGCCGAGATTCCAACCAAAATATTTCAAATCTGTACTAAATTAGTCAAAATTAGTCAAATTCGAATCTCCGCCAAACCGAGGAATTATTTATAAAAATAATTTTTTTTCAACTTTTTACATATTTTGTTTAAACATTTTATTATTTATACAAATAATTTTATACATTTGACTTCATATTCATAATCAGCTAACCAAAAACGCCTATATCTTGTATTCAATTTCTTATGCATTTTTGTTACACTTATTGATGGTAGGAGTGAGAACATTTAAAAGCTATAAACTGCCCACGAAACTTAAAGTGGACAAAAATGAAAAAAATATAACTTAAATATTTTTTGTATTTCTATATTTGTGCCAAATTAGAAAGAAATCGGAATGTAACCTTTGGGTAGGTTTACTTGTTAGCCTCAGGATTGTCGACTTCATAAGACCTAACGGGACTCTCTCTAATTTACGAAAAGTTCTTCTTAAAATTAGTGTTCTATCTTTGTAATTATAATAATATATATGTTGATAGCGTAGGTAGAAACATAACATTATATAAAAATAGAACGCATAATATGGAGTTTTCAGAAATTAGAACGAATCCCGTAGGTCTTTTGAAATTGACAGTTTTGAGGCTGATACAATCACGAGATTCGACATATTGAAGCGACGACGCGGAGCGAGGATAGCGAGCTGCGTTCGCTGCTACCTTGTACACGCGAGATATCGCTTCTCCACTTAGCGTCTGGGAATGCGGCTATTATTCTCTGCTCACGCGTCGCGTGAGCTACCTCACTGCGCGTAAATTCTCTAAGAGGTTACCGTTGGCCAATCTATAACGCAGATCGATATATACGTCAATAACTCTACTTGTAGGCGTTGTAGCGACTTGAAACAAAAACTATTGGAAAGGGGAAATTATCATGCTTTCAATGAACGTGAAATCGTTCTTTGGTGAATTAAGGATCAATTAACATACTTGTATAAATACAAAATACATCGATTTTTTTACTGACTTTAAGTAGTGAGTTCTATCTTAACGTGTTGGATATTACTGTTGCAACGATCGCATCGCAATATTGTAGCTGGGATCGGATTCTTTTCGAATCGTGTGTCGTAATTCCGTGATTAATAAGACTGACTGATAAACTCATTTGGGCAACATTGCTTGCCGTCGTTTCACGCGGTTATGTTGAACACTTTCGACATCAAATGTGACTCTTCGGCGAATTTTTATTGCGTGGGCGAATCATAGAAATTCATACTGAAAATATATTGTACTGATGACGATTGAGTGATTTAATGGCGTCGTAGGCATTATGTCAGGAGCGATTAGCTGTAAACAATGCCCGCGGAATGCCTTCGAATGAACGGCGCCTAATAACGTTCTCGTGAAATAACAGCTGGCGAGATTCGTCGCTGGGATTGACCGACAAAGCCGTTCATCTGCCGTAAAGACGCGCGCGTTCAATGACCGAACGGACCCGATGCTAGTCGACGCTAATTGATACCGAACAAACGACGTGAACCAACAACGACAACCAATGGCCAAATAACGCCTCGGCTCAAACCGGCTTACGACCGAAAACAATCAATTGTCCGACCAAGTCCCGCCAAGTCCCGCCGATGTCAATCGACGTTAATTAACCGGCAAATTCAACGTAAACCAACGCTGAACAACATTAACCGACGTTAGGCAACGTCGCCGACGATAATGTTAATCAGGTAACGCCGGTCGCGCACATCGGTACGCGTTATTGTTTGATCAAGCGTGCCGCAATCGTCCGCGTGCGACTACATCGAGGCAGTTTCACGTATGATGGGGCACACATCTCGCGCAAACTCGCGCCGTAACGAAACTGCACGCGTCCGCTTTCCGCCCGACAAGTCTTTTTTTTCAGGAAAAATGTTTGCAGTCGCGAGTACAGTCCGCCGCGTTCGTGCGCGCGCTCGTCGCGCGAGGAACTCTTCAAAGACTAACTACCCCACGTTGCGAACAGCATGGTACAACAAATCTCCACGCTCCGGAAAATAAACTCGTCACGAATGATTTGTGTTTTATCTCGTTTGACTACCGAGCGCCGT